CATACTCGTATATGCAAGGGGCCAACGTATGGTTCCTGTAGGAAGTGACAACTTGGAGACGATGGCTTGCGGTATATATAGTTTTACTTTATACATTAAGATATATATACATACAAAAGACACCCTGTGCCAGGTCAGCACATAGTGGTAGTGGTTGTTGTAAAGGTGCCCTTGAGAACCTAGCCTAGCCCTAGCTGGGCTAAGGGTAAGACCTTTCTTTTCTCCTTCTTTTCAGTCTCTCTGGACCAAGGCTTATATAGCCAAGGTGACCTGACATTTAGTAAGTAATAAATATAAATGTAAACAGTAATTCATCAGTGACATACTTGCACATCTCGTTCAGGATGGCAGACGGTCGATGTACACAAAAATGGGGATTAACAATTAGGATAAGCATCTTATAAATAGCAGCAATTAAGTGTTTCAAGGCATATAGATGTCATTGATGCCTTTGAAATTAAATGTTCTTCAGACAATGGGTGTCGTAAATCAGTCGCTATGACAGTAGCATAATTGTGAGACCAATCAGTCTGCACGTTAAACATAATCCATGACTGTATAAATATTCAGTTATTATTACCAGTCTAGATTATGAAAACAAGCAACCCAAGCTAGCTATGTCCCACATGACATAAGGACCAGAAAAAAATTGTTTGTCAGATTTTATTATTATTTTTAACGCACATTCGGTATATAATGACAAACTTATTTTAAACACATATTCGGTATTTAATGGCAAACTTGTGACATTTGTCGCAATATTGAGACTCACCGGGGATAGAGGCAACATTACTTTTTCGGAGTTGAGTACTCACTTTTAAATAAGGAATGCTATCAATCGCAAACTATTGGATGTGACGAAATATGCTTATTAAATGTGAATTCGTAACCAGCACTATTCATGTTACGGATTGTGCATTTACTATTTGGAAATGTTGCATATTAAATAATCCCGCTATTACGATTTCATCATAACCATGTATATTTCCGATGGTGATTTATTGTATTCTAATTCAATAAAATACACATTGTGTAGGTGTTTGTTAAGAAGTATATTCGAGTTTAATTCATTTGATTTACGGCTGTAGGTAAATTCGTAACCAAACTAATTCGTATCCATGAAGAATTCGTAGCCAATCCCAACTCGTAGACAATATTCACGGTGAACTCGTAGATAAAACAAACAAAATTGGGAACTAGATCACAACGGCGACATAGAAGCGCATATTGTCTTTCAAAGAAAATGCTCCGAAACATACACGAAACTTGTACCCAATGAAGGAAATGACCCAACGAACCATATGCCACTTGTTGAGGTAAGACTTCAATATTCCAATCAGTATTAACGACATTGATAACATTAATTATTATTTAATTCCAATTTTTAAAACAAGTGTCTACGAATTCACCCCGGTGTGTCTACGAATTCAATGTAAATTGTGTCTACGAGTTGGCGCATCCGCATCCCTTTATAAACACACCGTCTTTATGTTGCAATAGCCTGCAGGCCTGCTTGTTTTTTCTAACATTGGATTGAGAAGAGAGTGAACAGGAGGTACTGTAACCAAATAATACTATCAATTAGGGGTGAAACAATACAGCAAGATCACGATATGATACGTTTCGCATCACGTATATTTACGTGGACAATATTTCACGTGGAAACGTCTTGACTATAAATATTTTACATCAGGTAACCAAAGAAGAGCTAGCTGCAGACACATGCTGGTAGCGCCTATTTATATTATTAAACTTGAAAAGCCTTTCACAAAACATTTTGTAATATTTTCCTGGCAAAAACCCTTGGGTTGGGGTGGCGGTCATTAAAGGATTATTTTTTTCAGCAAGTGCATTTTCTTGTATTGACACAGAAAAAAATTATTTAACCATATCGTTGCATGAAAACCTCACGATGCGCCGATTTATCGTTTCACCCCTACTGTCAATGTTGGGGAACTGTAACATGGTTTATTATATGTATTGACTTGTTTTTTAGGTTCCTTAAAATGTAACACATATTTTAGTAAATCTCTATGAGAATTCCTGGTGACGTTAGGTATCGAGACTTCAGTAGCCAGGGTTGACAGACTGGTCAGTTTTAAGTGACTTACCTGACTGCATGTCAGCATGCAGGGATGGTGTGGATTGTGAGCCATGCTTTCAGTCAATGGTTTGCCAGGTCCAGATGTAATTATTTACAGTCATCGTGATAGGTCTGGAATATTGCTGACTGCAGCGTTACACACGTTCACCCATTCACAAATCTATTGATGATGGTAGATAGCTCAGTAATTCCACTTACTCGTTGAAGGATTCACTTAAATTTCTCATGCTTTCAGTCACTGGTGTTCTGGCCCAGATTTGATTATTGTCTGACTGCTACCTAAATAACATTTATTTACTCGATGAAGGCGTCACTTGAATTTCTCATGCTTTCAGAATATTCAGTCACTGGTTTCCTGGTCCAGATTTGATTATTGTCTAACTGCTACCTAAAATAACATTCATTTACTTGTTGAGGACATCACTTGAATTTCTCATGCTTTCCGTCACTGGTTTTCTGGTCCAGATTTGATTATTGTCTAACTGCTACCAAATATAACATTTATTTACTTGTTGAGGACATCACTTGAATTTCTCATGCTTTCAGTCACTGGTTTCCTGGTCCAGACTTGATTATGGTCTAACTGCTACCTAAAATAACATTCATTTACTTGTTGAGGACATCACTTGAATTTCTCATGCTTTCCGTCACTGGTTTTCTGGTCCAGATTTGATTATTGTCTAACTGCTACCAAATATAACATTTATTTACTTGTTGAGGACATCACTTGAATTTCTCATGCTTTCAGTCACTGGTTTCCTGGTCCAGATTTGATTATTGTCTAACTGCTACCTAAAATAACATTCATTTACTTGTTGAGGACATCACTGGAGTTTCCCATGCTTTCAGTCACTGGTTTCCTGGTCCAGATTTGATTATTGTCTAACTGCTACCTAAAATAACGTTCATTTACTTGTTGAGGACATCATTTGAATTTCTCATGCTTTCAGTCACTGGTTTCCTGGTCCAGATTTGATTATTGTCTAACTGATACCTAAAATAACACTCATTTATTTGTTGAGGACATCACTTGAATTTCTTATGGTTTCAGTCACTGGTTTTCTGGTCCAGATTTGATTATTGTCTAACTGCTACCTAAAATAACATTCATTTACTTGTTGAGGACATCATTGGAATTTCTCATGCTTTCAGTCACTGGTATCCTGGTCCAGATTTGATTATTGTCTGACTGCTAACTAAAATAACATTCATTTACTTGTTGAGGACATCACTTGAATTTCTCATGCTTTCAGTCACTGGTTTTCGGGTCCAGATTTGATCATTGTCTAACTGCTACCTAAAATAACATTCATTTACTTGTTGAGGACATCACTTGAATTTCTCATGCTTTCAGTCACTGGTTTTCTGGTCCAGATTTGATCATTGTCTAACTGCTACCTAAAATAACATTCATTTACTTGTTGAGGACATCACTTGAATTTCTCATGCTTTCAGTCACTGGTATCCTGGTCCAGATTTGATCATTGTCTAACTGCTAACTAAAATAACATTCATTTACTTGTTGAGGACATCACTTGAATTTCTCATGCTTTCAGTCACTGGTTTTCTGGTCCAGATTTGATCATTGTCTAACTGCTACCTAAAATAACATTCATTTACTTGTTGAGGACATCACTTGAATTTCTCATGCTTTCAGTCACTGGTATCCTGGTCCAGATTTGATCATTGTCTAACTGCTAACTAAAATAACATTCATTTACTTGTTGAGGACATCACTTGAATTTCTTATGCTTTCAGTCACTGGTATCTTGGTCCAGATTTGATCATTGTCTAACTGCTACCTAAAATAACATTCATTTACTTGTTGAGGACATCACTTGAATTTCTCATGCTTTCAGTCACTGGTATCCTGGTCCAGATTTGATCACTGTCTAACTGCTAACTAAAATAACATTCATTTACTTGTTGAGGACATCACTTGAATTTCTCATGCTTTCAGTCACTGGTATACTGGTCCAGATTTGATCATTGTCTAACTGCTAACTAAAATAACATTCATTTACTTGTTGAGGACATCACTTGAATTTCTCATGCTTTCAGTCACTGGTATCCTGGTCCAGATTTGATCATTGTCTAACTGCTACCTAAAATAACATTCATTTACTTGTTGAGGACATCACTTGAATTTCTCATGCTTTCAGTCACTGGTTTTCTGGTCCAGATTTGATCATTGTCTAACTGCTACCTAAAATAACATTCATTTACTTGTTGAGGACATCAATGGAATTTCTCATGCTTTCAGTCACTGGTATCCTGGTCCAGATTTGATCATTGTCTAACTGCTTACTAAAATAACATTCATTTACTTGTTGAGGACATCACTTGAATTTCTCATGCTTTCAGTCACTGGTTTTCTGGTCCAGATTTGATCATTGTCTAACTGCTACCTAAAATAACATTCATTTACTTGTTGAGGACATCACTTGAATTTCTCTTGCTTTCAGTCACTGGTTTCCTGGTCCAGGTTTGATCATTGTCTAACTGCTACCTAAAATAACATTCATTTACTTGTTGAGGACATCACTTGAATTTCTCTTGCTTTCAGTCACTGGTTTCCTGGTCCAGATTTGATCATTGTCTAACTGCTACCTAAAATAACATTCATTTACTTGTTGAGGACATCAATGGAATTTCTCATGCTTTTATTCATTGCTTTTCTGGTCCAGATTTGATTATTGTCTAACTGCTACCTAAAATAACATTCATTTACTTGTTGAGGACATCACTTGAATTTCTCATGCTTTCAGTCACTGGTTTTCGGGTCCAGATTTGATTATTGTCTGACTGCTACCTAAAATAACATTTATTTACTTGTTTAGGACATCACTTGAATTGCTCATGCTTTCAGTCACTGGTTTTCTGGTCCAGATTTGATTATTGTCTCACTGTTCATCTTTCAGGTTAGCTGGGTTCCTGTTCATCAAAGTAGGAAAAACAGCAGCTGCATCACTCGGGACAACCATCCTGCTTGTACAGGTAACCATAGTAACAATATTAAATTACATCCTGCAGGCTAGGATCACATACCTCTTCACGTGGATATCATTTGGGGGTTCTAGGATAGAATAGATTAATACATTGCAGTGATTACTGTAAAAGTTCAGTCTTAGTAAAATTGGATTGTAGCAAAGTGTTACCTGGCTGATTGTGTGTAACTTGAGGGCATGAATGAATGTTCATGCTATCAACCACTGGGCCAGATTCATATATATATAGCTGTAGTAGCATTGCCATCAGTGGCATACACATCCAATCGTACGGCTGACCAGTGTTTCTATAATTGTGTTACAGCTCGCTCAACATCAAGGCTACATCCGTGTCAACTGGAACAAGGTTGAACAAGGTGTGAACCGGGCCAAGAAAGAACTCCATAAAGAAGCCAACAGACGGTATCCTGGGATCTTACAAAATGTACGACAGATATGTAACCAAGTGCACATTTCAACCATTTGTCAGTTGACATGTTGCGGTTGTTGATGTACAGACCTACCTGCTTATAGTGCCACCTTTTGTCCAGCAGACAATATGGCATTGTAACCAGTGTGGCATTATACCAAGGGTGGCCTTGTAACCAGTGTGGCATTATAACAAGGATAGCATGACCAGGATGGCATTATGACCAGGGTGGCGTTGTAACCAGGGTGGCATTATGACCAGGGTGGCATTGTCAGCAGGGTGACATTATAACCAGGATGGTATTATAACCAGGAAGGCACAACCAGGGTGGCATTATAACCAGGGTGACATTATGACCAGGGTGGCATTGTCAGCAGGGTGGCATTATAACCAGGATGGCATTATAACCAGGGTGGCATTATGACCAGGGTGGCATTGTCAGCAGGGTGGCATTATAACCAGGATGGCACAACCAGGGTGGCGTTGTAACCAGGGTGGCATTATGACCAGGGTAGCATTATGACCAGGAGGGTATTGTCAGCAGGGTGACATTATAACCAGGATGGTATTATAACCAGGAAGGCACAACCAGGTTGGCATTATAACCAGGGTGGCATTATGACCAGGGTGGCATTGTACCAAGGGTGGCATTATAACCAGGATGGCACAACCAGGGTGGCATTATGACCAGGGTAGCATTATGACCAGGGTGGCATTTTTAGCAGGGTGACATTATAACCAGGATGGTATTATAACCAGGAAGGCACAACCAGGGTGGCATTATAACCAGGGTGGCATTATGAACAGGGTGTCATTATGACAAGGGTGGCATTGTCAGCAGGGTGGCATTATAACCAGGATGGCACAACCAGGGTGGCATTATAACCAGGGTGGCATTATGACCAGGGTGGCATTATGACAAGGGTGGCATTGTCAGCAGGGTGGCATTATGACCAGGATGGTATTATAATCAGGGTGGTATTATAACCAGGGTCGCACAACCAGGGTGGCATTATTACCAGGGTTAATGTTCTGAATTCGTCACACTCACATACTTGTTTTTAGCTATGTTGAACACCCGTGAAGATCTGGTTCAGAATAGGTCTTCAGTTACCCATGCTTGCCGCAAAAAGGCGACTATGCTTTCTGTAAGAGGCGACTAACGGGATCGGGTGGCCATGCTCGCTGATGCATGTCATTGTATCCCAATTGGGTAGAACAATGTTCCTTGTCTGATCCAGACCACAACTGGTCGGTGGCTAGTGATGTGTTTAAGTAGCCCCCTTTCATCAAACATTGGCATAACACGGGTAAAATGGCCGCAGCTGGTCGGTGGCTAGTGATGGGTTTTTTTTAAGTTTAGTGCACTCAGAGAAAAGTGCTGATGGGGAATGGTAAATTTTTGCATGAAAGCAACATATTTTCTAGAAGACTGTTAATTTTGTATTGTGAAGTAATGATTCACCGATCATAAATATGTTTTTTTTGTTATTCCAGGCAAAGAAATTTGTGCAACAGAATGTCTTACTTGCTGGATCCTTTGCTGGCGGCTTTTTCTTCGGCATAGCTTTCTGAGTGCCTTGAGTGACATAGTAACTGTATCCTGGCATGATGTGATGTGTGATACAGAGGACAGTGTGTGATATTAACAGTGTGGTGCCTCTGTTTGGGGACCACGGGAATCGTTGACTCAAAGACATTTGGCGTTTGGGAGCAACTGAGGGATGATGTACCAAATTTTCTACCCTTGTCTGTCCATACACAGCCTTGAGTTTTCTTGATCTGACAAAAAAGCTTGGACAGACATCACACCGACCTGTTTCTAAACTGAATATCTGTATGACCCTGTACCTAGAAAATGGAATTCAGTTGATGTTCAAGAGAATTAAGTTTATCTGGTAATTAGGGTTTAGTCATTAATCAGGCTGGTCAGTGCTTGTAGATCCATCTGGCATGGACATACAGACATACTTTTCAATACTTTGTGCATACACTATAAACCTAGAAAGTTTATCATGTACCTTGAAATTAAATTCTTAACTTTACCATGTGTTTGTTGCAAGAGGCGACAAACGGGATTGTGTCGTCACCCTCGCCTTGGTTGATACATGTCATTGTATCCCACTTGTGTGGGTTGATGCTCATGATGTCAATAACTCGATTGTCTGGTCCAGAGTTGATTATTTATAAACTGCAGTCCCAGAGCTGGAATATTGCTGAGTGTGGCGTTAAACAACAAACAAACAAAACGTAACAGCAGATGACAGAAACTAAATTTTGAGTTATTCCCCCTAGATCTATTTCATTTGGAAAATATCATGAATATCTGGAGAAAGGCGTCTTACATCATAATGCAAGATTGCATGTTTAAACTACCATGTGTTTACTAAAATACACTATAAGTTATAGCAGGATCAAGAGCGGATTTTATACATCCCTCGTTAGGTTTATACCACTTGCCTCCAGCTTGTTGTATAAAACTTCATGCAGGACGCTGAGAAATTTATTTCCCTCGCAGGGGGGATACATCGTATTTTATCAAGATCATGTGCACAATCAGATCTCAACGTTCTGACATGAAGGTATGATTATACTAAATATATTATCTTCTATCTTTGTCTGCTGCTGTATTATTATTATTACTTTGTCAACAGTAAAAAAAGCAAAGTGGGTAGGATGATAGTCATATACTTGAAGCCAACCATTGTTGAATGATGGATAGATTGAACAGCTGGCAAACAGATGCACCCACAAAGAATGAATGCTGTTGATGTTTCAGTATTAGATGATTTCTACTTCCTGGTTTTGGTTGTGTCTTGTTTATATACCTGGTATATTGTTTCCTTTGATCATGTTGATGAGTATCACTATGACATGGACTCATGATATAATGGTGGACATGTTGAATGATTGTTGGATGCATGTTGAATTATTCTCAACAAAATTTCATATTTTATTTATTTTTGTTCTGCTGACCTCAGCTTTTTCTCTGTAATGTCGGCTATAAGAAATACAGTGATACGTGTAATGCTGTTCTCTTGGTGGTAAGACTCTCGGTGTTCTTGTCTTCTTGTAATCTAAAAAGAAATCTGAACTTCATGCATGTCCCATGCTCTAAAAAAACTTTGAATGAGTACGTGGTGAGTGTGTTTGGGTGAATGACACTTTGAAACGTATTTCCGCTATAACATATCTTTTCAGCTTAATGTATGTGGAAAATGATGCAGACCTAAAATACTGACCACTATCATGACAAAGGACCAATATCAAACCTGGGACTCAAACCCATGATCATTGAATCCAGGCATGCCTAAGGGAAGCAACTCTGCACAGGTATTTGGTGACGGATGACTGGAACACGGGTGTCACCTTCGAAGGGTTGAATGACATGAATCAGTTTGTGTGGAATGTACCACAGGTGATACTAAGCTGTGGGTGTCTAAGTGAATTTCAGGATGTAGTCAGTGATACAGATTCGTCTTTCGTGATCATGAAGTTATTTGCAATGTATATAAATGGTACCAGTGTTAAATGGTAAGGCTAGGTATGTGAGTTGAGACTACCACATATTTGATCAGTATTTAAGTTATGTTACAGCATATACGCTACTGTTAACTGTATATCTTTTAGCTGTAAATTATTTTGAATGGATATGAATGATGACAAAAAGGCAAATGTCTATTACTTGCTGTGTTAATTATGGAATTTAACTTCTGATTTACATCTTTTGACAACTTTCCCATTTTCATGGAAACTTTCTAAAACTATGGGACAGGTAAATACTTCTTTCCTTCACTGAAATGCCATGACAGGCTTTGCATTGTGTTCCTGTGTAAGACATGTACACAATGATGCTGGCATCAGATTAGCTGTTTCAGCCAGAACCTTGTTATTGCGATTTGAAACCTCTGACTTTATCAGAGTCAATTGTCCACCAAACTTGTGGTGGAATAATCAGTTCACTTTAACAGTGAGCATGTTGCTGCTGAGTAATATGTGCTATTTGTGTGAGCGTGACGTCTACTTTTCCAAGATAATTGAGATTCATTTTGTGTCTAGTCAGAAAGCAGATATGCACAACTACACGGATGTTTACAAAAGTCCATGATTTCTGTTAACAATTGTTTGTACTTTTCCCGCCACACTTTTCATTATGAAGAAAGTGCTGATGTCCAAATGAAAAAATAGTTTCATGTTTTACTTGGACATTGCAGGTTGAATAATCTTGAACCGGTTACTCGATCCCTTATATTCCTTGTCGAGGTCAATGGTGCTCATATCTGGGCTTGATGATTCTTTTCTTTCTGTTTAAATGTGTGTTTGAAGTAATATGTAGAATGTCTTGCTTCTTGAAGACAGTGAATTGAACGCATGTCCTGTGCAGGTATTTCAGTGCTTTAGGTCTGCAAGGTCGGCCCCATTTGCTGTTCCTGTGTCATGTAAAGTGTGCATGTTGACAATATAACAAATAGAGTGCAATGTCTTTTTCAACATATTTTACACAGAATGGTTTGTATGCTGATTTTGCTTACATGGGAGTAAATAAAACAATATACAATACCTTCAACAAGTGTGTGTTTCATCATTATCATTAACATGCATAGATGCATACATCCTCACTCTTGGGAGAAAATAGTAGGTGCGAATTATACATTGTGATAACACGCTTCTGTGGGCATAGTATCAGTATTCTCTGATAATATAGTAGGGAAGTGTAACAGGTTGTGTTAACATGGATCTGTAGGCACACCGTCAGTAATCTTTGATAATATTATAGGTAGATCTTGGATAGAATAGGTCATCAGGAACCCATTCTTGCTAGAAAGGCGACAATGCTTGTCATAAGAGACGACCATTGGGATCGGATGGTCTGTCTCGCTGACTTGGTGATGCATCAGAAGGTTAGATACATTGAGATAACATGGATCTCTATGCATACGAGACCCGTGAAGATCCGGGGTATAATAGGTCTTAAGCAACCCATGCTTGCTGTAAAAGGTGACTCATGATGTCAATAACTGGATTGACTGGTCCAGATTCGATTATTTACAGACCTCTGTCATAGAGCTGGAATATTGCTGAGTGCGGCGTTAAAAAACAAACAAAACATGACAGCAGATGACAGCAGCTAAAATGGGAGTTACTACCCTTAGATCTATTTCATTTGGAAAATATAAATATCTTGAGAAAGGCGCCTTACATTGTAATGTGATATTCTTACATTAGAGTGCGAGATGCAAAGTGTAAATTGCAACAGTTCGACAATTCAAGCAGTGAACATAGGAAATGTACCTTTCATATTAGAAGAGTGCATTGAAAAAAATGTGTCTCGGTCAATCAGTATCAGAAGGTTAGATACATTGAGATAACATGGATCTCTATGCATACGAGACCCGTGAAGATCCGGGGTATAATAGCTCTTCAGCAACCCATGCTTGCTGTAAAAGACGACTCATGATGTCAATCACTGGAAAGTCTGGTCCTGACTGGATTAGTTACAGACCACTGTCATATAGCCGGAATATTGCTGAGTGCCACGTTAAGCAACAAAGCAACCAACCAACTGTGCATACGATCAATAAGTTATGATAATACATTAGGTATGTACGGCTCATCCTGCTATTATCGACCAATATGCATATATATTTATGGGTTATACTGTCAATTTTGAGCATCAAATTCAAGTTCTTTGGATTTTGAGCCAACACGATCATGATTCTTGTGTGATTTATCAGGATGAAGGTTGCAGAATGCTACACTTGATACATCTATGTGCTGTCAATTTTGAGCATCAAATTAAAATCAATAAAAATATACAAAGTAACACAAGAATGAGATTCATATGATTTAATTACTAATTCATAGCTATGCACAAATAAAAATATACATATTTGTATAACGTTTGATAGGGATAATCAGATATGTCATTCTATTTAAATAAACACTTGACATATAATGACAATAAGTTTTGTGTCTATTAATCGTGAGACTGCAATTTCATCCACATATACAGACAACATGGGCTAGGATTAACACAGCATACATGCAACATACAAATTACACCGATGAATACATAGATGAATGTCACCAGGTGAAATAAACACTCAATCAAATTGGATTTGTACAACCATACAATATTGGTTTGCACTAACGTTTATAATATTGTGTCCAAAGTTACATTGTGGTAAGCTGTTGTACATACAGTGAAACCTGGTTAATCAGGTTGGTTTAATGCAGCTTTCGACAGTATTTCGGTCCTATCATGGCGTCTCAGCTTAATGTAGGGGAAACGCCTAAAATGATGCATTCCTTAGACATTTATCACTAATGTTCTCCCAACGAACACAGGTATGGTGCTGCCAAACCAAGAATCATAATCAGGGATAATCCCTCCTCCCGAGGCAAGGGAGTTAACCGACTATAAAGTCCTGTTCCCACCCGTTGAGTACCTTAATTAAAAACATGAAAAGATTTGCAAAAATCGTTTGTCGCTGCCAAGTTGGCAGTGCACATGCTTTGCACATCTTGCAGTCAACGAAATCTGCACGTTGAAATCCATGATGACTAGTTCATTACACGATTTTGATTGGCCTATGCATAGACTCGTAACTGTGGAATTCCTGCCTAGTTTGGCAAGGGTGAAAACTGTTAACTCCCTTGCCTCAGGAAGATGGGGCTAATCTGAAGTTAGAACCCATGATCAACGTCTGCACGGTGAGCTATGGCCTGTGAGGGGACTGGACCACCAGTACACCCTGATTAAAATAAGCTATAGGTGATATAACAGTTATTTAACATAATGAAAACATTATGACTAAGAAATAATGGAATCTGAAGTAATATTTCAAAATCTTCTGTCTTGCTGAGTTACATGCAACATTTTACCATGTCATAAAATATTTTATAATTTTAAAAGAGGAAGTTTTGAGTCAAGTCTCTTCTTTCGAAGAATACGTTAATCATGAACTCTTTTTAATAAACATTCTATCATCATGATCCTGTCCCAGCTAGCACACCTACATCGGGTCGACATTGGCAATTAATTGGCCACTATTGGCATTATATGAATAGAGAAGCTGTTTTTTCTTTCTTGTTTTTTACTTATGGTGACATTGTTGAGTCATGAATATCAAATACAAGAGAATTACAAATGTGCCTAGTTTCAGCCATGACAGCAGTAACCATGTCATTAATATAACTTATTCATGTTTGGATTTAACATATTTATTTTACAGTATCACACCTTCACAAACATCTTGTTCTGAGAGAATGTTTATATGTTGTGTGTGCACAAGCTTCAGCAAAAGCAACGAATAACCATGTGGAATAGTTTCAGCAAATACAGCAATAATTTCATCACTACAAGATTCATGTGTGGGTTTAAACAAATATTTTCTGTATTAAATCAACATAAGCAGAAGAAATTTTGTTTGGAAACAATTTTAATATTTCGTCGGGACACTCATTTCTGTGTCAGACCAGATAGTGGCGAGGTACCAATTTCAGCAACTACAGCAATAATTTCATTACAACAAGTTTTATGTGTGAATTTAAAAACCTTATTTTTGCATATAAAATCAATATAAGCAGAAACTGTTTTGTTTTGAAACAATTTTTACATTGTGTCTGTACACTCGCTTCTTTGCGACATACCTCACATCACATTTCATCAGAAGATGTTACTGTAGCATAATTTCAGCCAATACAGCCATAATTTAATAATAACAATATTATGTATGGATTTAAAACAATTGTTTTGTAGTATTATATCAATATAAGCAGAAGAAATCATCTTCTGGAAGAATTTTTACATTTTGTCTCTGTACTCAGAAAGTTGAGGCTGTGACATAAGTTCAACAACTACAGCAATAATTTCATCATAACAATATTAGTGTGAGTATATAAAAGAATTGTTTTATCATAATAAATCAATATAAGCAGAAGAAATCGTGTTTGGCGACAATTTTTACATTTTGTCACTGCAAGTTCTCACTTGTATCACATCACATTTAAGTAAGTTGTTGCTGTGGCATAATTTGAGCAACTACAGCAATAATTCCATTATAACAATATTCGTGTGAGTATTTAAAACAATTGTGTTATCATAATAATTCAATATTAGCAGAAGAAATCGTGTTTTGAAACAATTTTTACATTTTGTCTGTGCACTCACTTCTGTTTCACATGACATATCAGAAATTTGTTGCTGTGACATAATTTCAGCAACTACAGCAATTATTTCATTATAACAATATTCGTGTGAGTATTTAAAACAATTGTTTTATCATAATAAATCAATATTAGCAGAAGAAATCGTGTTTTGAAACAATTTTTACATTTTGCCCATGTACTCTCTTCTGTTTCACATCACATTTCAAAAAATTGTTGCTGTGGCATAATTTCAGCAACTACAGCAATAATTCCATCACAACAATATTCGTGTGAGTATTTAAAATAATTTCCAAATCCAGGAGAAACCAGGAAAGTAGTGAAACCAGACATGTGAAGAACTTGGTTGTATTTTGTACAAAACAAACAGAACACACACCGAACACTTCTATGTCCGCTTCACTGACTTTCCCCGCCTGTCATTGAACAGTTGATAGAAATATCTCAGTTACACGGACAACTTTACAGAAGCAGTTTATTTCCTATCTCAGCGCTTGGTAGACGAGGGCCCTCTTGGCGTCTGTCATGTCGACGTCCCCCCCGCTGATCAGACTCATCGCCGCAGTGTAGCAAGCAAACGCCATCCCAGCACTAAACATGGGGACAAGAGGTTCCCGGAACACCTCATCATACTTGACAAGAACAATCCCCCTGTCCAAATCAATGAAGGCCACTCTACCCCTCCCCACATCCAGCACCACGCCATAGTGGAGGGTGGCCTGTGTGCCGGGAGTGCGGGACATGGTGTTCTGGTGACACTCGCCCCGCTCCCCCTCCCGATACACCGCGGTACAGAGACTCCTCCCGTGACTGCCATATCTCTCTACACGGACACACCAGGAGCGACGCTGTAGAGAAACCCACAACCCTGTGTCCACCTGTCCTGCCTGGCACACCCCCATCTCCAGGACATTCCACGGCACTCCCCTCACCACCCGCACCCTGGTCTTTGTCTCCCAGTATGTTGGTGTGGTGGGGAGGAGGGTGAGTGTGGAGGGGGGTGGAGGAAGGGGGATGGGGGAGCTACAGGTCCCCACGTACTCCTGTAGTCTGTTCCGCCCCTCATCCCGTGTGTAGCGCGACGAGTTGACCAGCTCACCGTCTGTAGTTACGTGGCACACGTCTGTGTTGGCCCGAGCCGCGTCCAGGTGACGTTTAGGACCTGGAAATAAACATTGTGTTTGTTGTGTAGCAAGTTTATTTCACTGTTTGTTACAAACTGAGACACAGAAAGAGATTTACTGAAAATATCGGCTGATTGTTTGCTTGTTTCCAAACAGCGCGCTGAATGTTCGTCTGTGTTTTTCATCAGTACAGAATATCTCCCACAACTGCGCTATATTAGCGCGTTAATTACAATGTAAAACTATTACTACGAGAATTCAAAATGCATTTCATTAAGAAACAAATGGATCAATTTACCGTAAAATGTAATATAAAAGAATTTTTGGTACACTTTTGATTTACCCCCATTGTGGAGATATCTGCCAGACGTGTGTTGTGCGTGGACGATGTTATTGTATGAAATACGATCTCAGTGAGTGAATTTCCCAACAAAAGTGTTTGTGTGTGGATTCTATATGAATCTTTTACAGAATAGGATGAAAATAAACTAAAAAATATCGTGTTTTAGGATATTTTTGACATTTTGTGTTCATCATACACCACATGAACAGGTATATTCTATGTCCGCTTCAGTCACTTTCACCGTTACCCCGCCACAGTCTGTGTGTCGCCATGTACAGGTGTGTGTGTGCGTGCGTGCGTGCGTGCGTGCGTGCGTGCGTGCGTGCGTGCGTGTGTGTGTGTGTGAAACGTTAAGTGAAGGACAGCATTGTTTCAATTTTCTTTGAGTGTCTCGCATTATGTTTTTAGTATTACTATTAGAGATCGCAACGCAGTATTTTCTCAGAATTTAGATTGGCACATTACCTCTCGGCCGTTTCTCAAAGCCCCAAACTCCCATATCAATTCCTACATGGAATTGTTTTATGCCTACAGTATTGAAGACGAAGTGCATTTTTCGATAACTTGTAGTCGTTCTTCAGACTTCAGAATATATTTTGTGAACTGGGCCTTGTCTACAAATCCAAATTTCATGTTTTTATCTCCTACAGGTCAGACCATGTGCATTCTGCATGCGGTGTGATTATTTATTTTTTTGAAATAACTCACACGATTGATCTTGTTATTGTAAATACACACGGGTTGCTTTTTGTGTCGGGGTGTTATAAGGAAACAATTTAAGGTAACACACGGTACTACAACCCAGGGATAAGTTTTTCTCTCGCCTCATTGCTATCCAAATGCATCCCCAGTCTGCAACCCATGATTGCCGTAAAAGGCGACTTACAGGATCGGGAGGTCAGGCTCGCTGACTTGGTTGATGTATGTCATCGATCCCAGTTGCATTGATCGATGCTCTTGATATCAATCACCGGTTTGTCTGGTCGAGACAAGATTATTGACAGACAGCCATCATATAGCTTGAATATTGCTGAGTGCTGCGTTTAACAACAAACCAACCAAACCACACTGGATCACCAGCCTGCAACACGGGAATTTGAGAAATAAAGACGTCTGTTATCTCACAGAGCTCAGATAAGCTGCGTTTTTGCCTAAAACACGCAAAAATGTATCAAAATTGTAGAAATAGTTTTGACTTACTTGTGTACAAATGCAGTAAAATTCGGTTATAACGAACTAAAAGGGATCACTAATTTTAAATCGTTATAACCATAGTTCCTTATAAGCATATATGCTTTATAGTGACAAGTCTTTTTGTTCTAAACTTCTAATTTCTAAAATTACGCGGAGAGGGTGGACACCCATATAACTACAATCACTATTACAATCTATCAACATTGCCGAAATAATACAGATACACATGAAAAGAAATTAAAACCACAACAGTATAAAATTCTGTATTTCACCCAATGTGAAATGTAGCGTACTTTGAAATGTAGCATCTCTTTCCTAATCTTTATGTACAAGTCGAATGCAGGCATCACACATACATAAACTCTACTACAGTGTAGTATGCATTGTGAGTTCATGAGACATTTTATACACTTGGGTCAGTACACGAACAGATTCATATTAGAAGTCACCTGAACTGCATTTTAAGCAGAATTATCCCTCTCTCATAGGGTAGATCAAGACATAGTGTAGGTCAATATACTAGCATAGGTCATGTAGGTCGCGAACACCTGGTTTCAGTGACACATTATAACTGCCCCCAGCCCCTCCGTCTCCCAATGTGTTGAAGAAAACCCGAACATATTTCATGATTCAGCAGACATAATTCAAAATTGTCATATCGTTTTTAGTTTCAGCAAAATCAGTAAATGCGTTAACCTGTCACTGGGTATTCTGATCCATCACCTGATTGTCTGGTTTGTTTACAGGCCGCCGTTGTATGCCAGGAGTACTGTTTCACCGCGTCAGACAACAATTCCTTTTTTATGTAAATTGTGTGAGTGGCGGGTGAGTGACATGCTTACCCTTTTCGCGAACACCTGGTGTCATGATTTAAGTGATCCATTCATATTATTTTCACCGCTATTTTACTTTTTAAGCCCAATGGAATCTGTTACGGCAGATAATCTAGATAGATTATCCTTTGGCGTTGACGTTTTATACTAACTTGAACTTGGTCGATGTTTCTGCTGGTCGGTTGAAGTGCCCGAGTTTCAACATAAGCTCAGTAGCATTTAGCAGTTGTGCTGCGTCAAGTACAAAAGACTACTATATATTTTACTTTTGTATTATTGGACATAGAAGTAAACCTACTTTTAATTATGTTAAGTTATAATGCTATTATATGTCAAAAGAGAGATACTGTCAATATTTTTTAAGTTGGATATATCTGTTTTATACATGGTAAGAGTTATGTCCCTTGCATTCTTTGCTTTGTGTCATAACTATATAAAATGGAATCTGATAACATGTTGCCTGCCTCATTGTTTGCAATTATACCATGACAGTTTGTGTTTTTCAGATTCGTCATTATGTTGCTCCAATATTGCAGACTGGCACAAGAGAACGTTTAGTCACCCATTCCATGGGCGGATACAGCTTTTTTGAAAACGGGGGTGAACAATTAAAATATATTTATTGTCTTTGGTGGTAATTTATACAGAAATAAATATTTTTTTCGAAATAAAAAGGGGGAGGTGGTGCGCACCCCCCCCCCCCCCCCACCCCCCCCCCCCCCCCCCCCCCCCCCCCTCTGTATCCGCCCATGCATTCACTCATTCCCGGAAATACTTACACGAAACCAGTCTAGGTTGACATGTCAGTCCAACAATGTGTACAGCGCTTCCATAGTCTGAAAGGTGAGAACTATCTTTACACATTAAGGTATTGGCTACTTTGATTGGGTAAAGGTTTTGAGATCAACAACTTAATAATAAACAACATTACATAGACAGTGACAGATTGGGGTGCAATATCTCGCATGGACACAAAATCCTTAGATTGTCTCACAAGTTTATTTTAAAGATATTTTTATGGCATTGACAGACCATTTTAGTAAATGAACCCCTGCAAGGGCGACACCACCTTACAATAATCATAAATCTCTGCTAAAAGAACATGCCATTGTATGATTCCGATTCCGATTTATTATCATGGTATGAATATACATAAACGGAAAAAAGTAACCGTTACATATGCATCTTTCAATACAAAGACATCTCGACTTTAATGTCGAAATTCACAATTCGCACGTGCATGTTCATTCACGGCGCACACTTTGAATGTTTGTCGGGAGCATGATACTCACACACGTTGTTTTGATTGTCAAAAGCACACAATAATTGTCTATATATCAGGTGCTCATAAACAAAACACTTTTGGGAAACTAACGCTTACCCAATGCAACGGCTATGTGCCGTGGGTATGCTGCAAACAGGGACGGCGCAAAACAAAGTTGTCAGACACTTTCATGTTCATCGAAACACAATATCATCTATGACATGGCAACACTCGAAACGCACCACGGGCCGGTTGGAAATATGTGACGTCATGTCAACAAGCTAACCGTATTCGGTTGGTACATGTACGGAATCGATACCAAACTGCTACATAAACAGCTCGGACAAGTCCTAGGTTGAGACCAATTAGTGGCAAAACCACACACAACCGGTTGAGGAAGCAAAATATCTGACCACAACGTTCAGCGATACCCCAAATGTTGCCTCCAAATCACCGTCAGTCACGTCTAGTTTGGTGTTGACAGCATATAAGGTTCAGAAGACAGGACTGAGTTGTCAGCGCGGAAGGTCGTGTAAGGGCCAACAGGCACCGAGAAGAACGTTTACTGTGCTTGCGTTACTCAACATCGTCAGTATGGGTTTGGAGATGTCATTGTATGGGGTGGCATCACAACTCAACTGAGAACACAACTCATCATTGTTAATGGTAATTTGAATGGCATGCGCTAGCGGGACGACATCGTTTGAGATTATGTTCTACCCTTTGTGCAAATCCAGGGACGTAACGTCACGTTACAGCAGAATCAATCCGACCTCATGTTGCAAGTGTTGGAACAACTATTTGGAGGCAGCATTACATTGCTGTACTGTCATGGCATGGTGTTTCTCCATACCTCTTCCCAAAGGAATATGCCTGGGTTGAGATGGAACGACACTTACAACAGTAACAGAACCAGACGGTAACGATATAGCTAAGTTGGGCCAAGCTTTGCTTGCCATTTTGAACAACAACCCCCTGGCTGTTTTCAATCATTTCGTGTCTTCAATGCGCACCTGCTGCATCACCTGCATCAAATGGTGGTCCAATATTGACATTGTAAATTAAGTTGTTATACCACCCCTATTTTAGGACGTGTCGCTATGTTTCCGGTTACCAGGTATGGGTTTTGTCAACAAATTTGTTAGAATAAAACATTGATCAAATGAATGACTAAATAGTGCGTTGTTATTTGCAAAAACATAAAATTTACACAACTGTATGTGAAGTGACCGCCTCCGTGTGCTAGTTATAGAGCGTCCGCCCGAAGAGCAGAAGGTTGGGGTTCAATCCCTAGCCGCGTCATTCGAAAAGACGGTAAAAGATGGCACCTGTTGTTACCCTGCCTGGCACTCGGCATTAAGGGGCTTGAACAAGGACTGGTTGGCTCGGAATCATTTTACCATGTCAGAGTGGGGTATTCATGTTAAACTATGGCATGGTATCTGAGTGAGCTAGCACTATAAAATCGGCGTTATTTAAGTGCAATAAACATGAACGCGACGTTAAACCTCATTTTCCATCACATTTTATGAAGCACGGCTAATTTCAGAAACAATTTCAGTATTGAAACAAAACTACACGTGAAAGATAAACTCCTTCGATGTTGGGACAATGCTCCTTGTCAGCAGTTGTATTACAGAAGTCCAGCATAATAGCATCATCGATCTGTGTATACAGTGCATGTCGGAAACTTCAATAAGAACACAACAATAGAGATTTGTCCATAAGCATTGTCACCTAACAGTACAAACCTTTTTCCAGACTATCGTTCTTTGCTTTCAGTTCCGTGAGTTTCTGCTCGTTTTCCCTGATTATCTACAAGATAAAATAATCCAGCAATGTGTTGCCATGTTTTACAGGATGTCATAAAATCCTTGGTTGTACAGAAATCAACCAAGAACTGACAGTGACACTATTCAGGCAGCTGCTCACGAGTTCAATGGAGGATGACATTCCTTCAGTACTGAGACATAATCCAAATGACAAACTTAATCATCAACATTTTGAGATCCCGAAAGAGAAAAAAGGCGTAGTACAATTACACAAAGGGGATCAACGCATGAACAAGATCATGATATTTCCGTCCAAGCATTGAATTAATACTTTAAAAATTCACTTTGCTAAAGAACAGCTTGCAGACCTGTAAACTACCCCACACCCAGATCGTACCTATCTCTAAGCATATACATAACCATATACCATATACATGTATATCAAATCACAATACATTCAATTCAGTAAACATTGCTATGAATATGTATATTTCAAAGTATCTCCCAATATATAGGTTTCAAATATCAGTAGAACATACTGATAATAATGATTTAATGCATAAATGTTATGATGAGCATGTTGAGCACATATGAACTACACAAAGATAAAATACAGACACACACACCTGTCTGTCTGTCTATCTTTCTATACACGTGTGTGTGTGTGTGCGTGTGCGTGCGTGCGTGCGTGCGTGCGTGCGTGCGTGCGTGTGTGTGAATTTCATAAATTATTTAAGCTTAATCAGGTCAGTGCATGGGAAGCGGGAATACATACGCAGATTTTATGTTCGCTTCTTTTCGTGCTCATTTAAACGACAAAGACATTCATGGAGTGGCTGTGTGTGGGCTATGTTGTTATCCTAGGTACATGTTGGTAGTCAGGTCCATGCTAGATTAGATATCTATTTTTCTATTGATATTGGTCCCTGCTATTTACCTTCAATGCAATTGCAGCCAGGTGGTTTTCTGTCAGTCGTCCCTGTTGGTATTGCCTCAGCTGGTGAATCAGAACGGGAACTCTTGTGTGTCCTTTAGATTCCTGTTCTGATAATTACCAAAAGAGAAAAGAAACTTCATGAAATATTTTGTGACTTATATGTATGAAACTTATAAAACTGTCAAATGTTCGCTGGGTAGTTGGCAATTTCCTAGATGTATGGGGATCACTACAAAAGAGTTTGCTGCAGATTGTACCTCATTGGCAAATGCATTGCATAGCTTTATTTTGATGCTGATTGGGGAACTAAATATATCAACTGCTTCAAGTTGTGTTTTACCTTTATTGTGGCCTCGACCATCACTCGTGTTGTCAGATTGTGACGTTATGGAACCAGACAGCTGTAAGTAAAGATACATGTTTCATGTGTAGACAGTCATTCATCTGGTTGCCAAACGTAACTGATATGTCACTGGATGTTTTGTGGTTCAGCTTGTATAGTCCTCTCTCTCTCTCTCTCATTCTCTCTCTCATTCTCTCCCTCTCTCTCTATGTGAATAGTGTGGATTTCCTCCAACTCAAGCATGAAAAACAAATAATTATTTGTTTATTTGAGACTGACATCACGTAAGAAAAAGTTAAATGCTTAAATAAATGTAAAGTTTATACAGAGAAGTTTCATTTGGAGGTGAACATGTCTGGAAAATAATTTTATTTCATGTTCTCATGACGATATAAGCTATCTTTATCTGTTAACTACAATTTTAAAAATACAAGCATTATTTCATTTTCAGATTGTGTTTTCCATAAATTGGAAATGATCTGTAAAGTAAAATGTAAAACTAATGTTAAAATTTGTAGATATCCCAATCCATAGCTAAACGGTTATACTCACAACATCAAAACCTGGTACCTCTATGTCTAACACAGATAAGACCGTCGTGTGTCGAGTCAGGTACTCCATTGTTGCCTGCCACTCCACTGGTGAAAAACGATATATAGAGTAGATAAACCTATCATTGAGCAGTACATTATCAACAATTATTAGTAATTAATTATCATTTAACTTGGTAGTAGCAGTAGTAGCAGCAGCAGCAGCAGTAGTAGTAGTAGTAGTCGTGGTGGTAGAAATTTCGTCACATGCGGAACATTCAGTTAAGTGAATACGTTTCCAGAACCTGATTACATACCCGTGTATAATTTGTGGAGTTTTTCTTTTCTATGATCCCTGTCCTGAAACAACAAAAAACTTGATAAGACACACTATATCTATCTACTCGTGCGTGTAACCATTAAATATGTTTGTAATTGTCCATCGTTCATTCCAGTATTCACCATTGTAATTTTTAAAAATCTATGATGAATGTTATGATAAATATGATTATATGAAAAGGTACCTTCAGTAGGTTGTCCAGATCGTGATTAAGCTTGTCGATTTCTCCCCAGCCTGCAAACAAACAAACAAACAAACATCGAAAATTAATATATCAACCACTCACGTGGTGACCTTTTCAATACGTGAATGACTTTATGTTCTGTATTGAAAATTGAAGACACATATAAAGGGAATCATTGTAAGGGAGCAATACGGCAGCGATGCCTTTTATCTGGGTAAAGTAACTGAGGACCCTCAGCTGCAGGTACTTACGGCTTTCAAGATCTTTTCCATCTGTGTCCTGTGGCTCTATTTCCAATTCGGTTGTCTGGATACCTTCCTTCCGTACTGGCTGAAATACAAACAGTCATGTAATCTATGATTACTTAAGATATAACATTGGTTGAAAAGGAAGTTTGATATGTTTCTATAATCCAGATCTTGGCAGATTGCAGTTGAAGATAATATGCACCTTTCCTAAATATGTTCGTAATATGCGACAGTGAAAATATAACATAAATCATAAAATTAAGATAATCAGTCTAGGAACGTGAGATTCTTGTAAGTTACACACTTGAATGTCGGATTCTCTTCCTTCCTTCCCTGACTCAAAGTGAAGCCTCTCTGCAACAAGCAAAAACAAAAATGTTTTCACATTTTCAGTGTTAGAGAGACAATTGAGTAGCAGCAACATGCTGTCATTGTAATTTCGATCAATACATATTGCATCGATAAATACACAATAATAATAAACAGAAATAATATGTTGAAACTTACCCATTTGTTGCTCAATTCCTGGACTTTCGACATGTCCATCCTGAAAAGTAATAAAACGTTAACTTCCTTGATCTTGAAGGAACCAATGTATTCCATTTAACAGCCAACTTTTAGCAAACCATCTCAGCAAAAACTTCTTTAAATCTTAAGATGATGTTGGCACATTGTGGTCTGAATTTTTGTATTTTAATCTATTATTAGAAGAACATTTTCGGGGATTATAGATATGTATGTCACACCTTACCATCGTAAAATTGTGTTTCCATTCTGTGTATTCTTTTTTACCCAAAGCTGAAAGATTGAAACTACAATTAGAACGTACAGTCATCATTCAATTGTTGTATTATACATGTCTTGGAAATATATCCATTTATGTACTCTCATTTTACTCACATGTTATATACCAGTTGAACCACTGTAAAGGCAAATGTCCCACTGGTACAACATGTGTCAGTGTAAGAGTGTATAACGAGAGACAGATGGGAGAATGGCAAGATGAAGGACACGCAGGAGGAAGATGCAATGGCTCCAGAATGAGAGATGGAATAACTGGTGAAGCACAGATGGAAGAATTGGGGATTTGGGGTAGTAGTGGTAGAAGAAAGGAAAGAGAGAAGAACATGATCGATAACAGTTCAAATACAGAAATATGACATGTGATATATGTTATGTGGAGTTTAGACAGCAGAACAATGATATAAGAAACGATATGCTCCAGGGAGGAATGGCCAAATTGACAAGGGACTAGGGGGCAAGTAGGATGCGTGGTATACAGGACCAATTAGATGACTGGGATGAAGTACGGTCAAGAGAAGGTGGTCTGGAGGAAGGACATGGGGAAGGCTTGGCGGAGTACATTGGAATGAAGGACAATATGAGTGGAGGAGGGAACGTGTTATGACATGTATTACTTAGTTGGCTACATTATGTTCCGAGGACATAACCATCAGTCTTATTATCTACACTACATACCATTCCTCAAGTGGGCCATTTTAACCTCGTGATACATTTGAAGCGTTTTATCTTTGATCATGACCTGAAATAAAATATATAGACAATGTGATTTTCATTATCATATCTTATTTGTTAGTCATTATTTTGCTTGCGATTCATACCCTAGATCTCTGTAATTTCAATTCTTACCGATCTTAGAAGAGGAAACATATTCTTCCTTAGTCTCATTCCCTCATGTAGGTCTGACAACTGAGCCTTGTGTGGGGCAGAGAGTTGCCCGAAGCCGCCCAAGGCTGAAATGAATAAGAAGATTTAGGTGAAGGAATATCTTTTACATCTGAAATATTTGTTCTGAATGTCATCACATCCCCCAGTAAACATCACCCCAAGCAGTTTTATAGAGAGACATCCATAATAGCTCTATACTGCATTAAGTAGCAATAAACCAAATCAACCATTTATATAACGAAATCTATAAATCGATAATTATTCTCTTTAATAATCAACATTAAACTTTGGGTTTCCTCATGTAATTTCACTGAAGGGTGAATCATTCAATCTCTTGGGACCAGGACTTTTGTTTTAGCCAAGTCAATGGATATGTCAGTCTTTCAAAACATGCATTGTTTACGTGGGCGTTTAAGGATGGAAGTACTGAAATGCATAGTGACCCTTGCTTGTTGTAAGCCAAAGTGGCTTGACCTCCAGACTATGGCGTAGCGGACGAACCTGCAAATAAACAAAGGTAACAAAGTGGCATTAATACAGTTACTATTGGTGTATATTATAAGATGTGAATATCTTTGTTTTAAGGGTGTGTAATCACAGTGTTTTCTGCTATGTATCCATGTATATATGTATCTATGTAGCTGTGTATGTACGTATGTATGTATGTATGTATGTATGTATGTATGTATGTATGTATCCATCCACCCATCAATCCATCCATCAACTTACAGATATACGCCATGTTTGTTCCAGTTTGTAACTAAATATTTTCAGCACACTGAAATCCCTGAGGAGATATTCAATCTGTTTCTTCCAAGCATCTGAAATGTTTTTGAAAAAAAGCAAAATTACTTACACCCTAAAGCATATATAATAGGTACCAACTATGAAGCTGAGAGTCGTATCATGAAGGTTGTTTGCGTTGTTATTTGCACATCTCTCGAGACGTTATTTACTCTATCTTAATCATCATCATCATCACGAAATAGCTTTATTCTATTTCACTTCATTATTTATCGTGACTTTGTAATAAACATTTACCATCAGACAAAACATCTATTTGTTTCTCCATCCCTTCTGTTTCCTGCAAACATAAAATGAAAACTTTGTTAATAATAAGCAACTCTGGAACAAACGGCTTCGAGGGAACCAGTAATGGCTATTCAATGAATATATTTTTATCCCTGTAAAACGGTTTGTCATGGGTAGGTTTGTGGAAATATACAAACACCATATGGAGGTAGGGTATTGATAAGACTGACTGGTATTAATAGCAGCTAGTTGTTATTTAAGTGTTCACATTAAATGTTGTAGTCTCATTGGTTATGAGTGTTCGGCAATCCTGCCCAGGAAACAAACTCCCCACGGAAATGACGACTCAAAATATATTTGAAGAAAATACCTGTCTCAATCGAAACACTCACACCTCTAAACCCTGCCATGATATGGTTAGTGTTACAACATACATTACCCTTTCTGCCTCGCATATTTTGGACTTCAGTTCCTTAATATCAGTTACATCTGAAATGAACAACATGCAAGTCGTCAACAAAATATTAGCTGTTAACTGCACACAGAATGAGTTTTTGTATCAACAGTACTTAAGAAATGCTGTGGGGTTTTGTTTCTTTTTTCTCTCTTCCTTTCACCAAATTTGTCAGATTAAAAATAACATTCATGATCTAACAGGGAAGTATATGTATAAACGACAAAGAGTCTGGTTTTGACTATAGAGTGCTGAATTTATTGTCATATGTAAATACACTTACAGGTTCCAAATCGCCACTTCCGACTGCTTGCGTGTGTCATGACTGTGTTGGTTTCATCCACGATATTCACACAGGAGGACAGGTCAACCGTACTGAGATCCTCTGCTGCTACAGCTGATGGGTACACCGACCTGGAAACAGGTTTTTACAAAACTGAACTCATATCAAGTAATGGTTTCAAACAATCATTAAGGCTTTAAGTTAAGGCTTCTTTCTGCAGACTTATTCAAGAAAGGAATTGGATTGTTTGATGCTTTATGTTGTTACCGGACTTGATACGACTACTAATGCTACTGATGGCGCCAACCAATAAGTACGCCGACTGCATACAATCTACATTTGCTATAACTTAATACAAACCTGAGTCTGTCCCTCTCCTCCCGTGACCTACACACCAGCAGAGTGTCCCCCTGTCGGTTCAGTCTCCTGGCCACCTCCAGCATCAACGTCGTGGCTCCACTTCCGGGCACACACTTCACCTGGACATCCTTATCGTTTATGTTCTCCACCAGAATGATACATTGTTCTTTGGTAAGAAATCTCAGACAATCTCCATCAGTCTCACCAGTTTCTTTGAGCACCGACTTCGTTTCAGCAACACCAGCCCAGAAAGCAGTGAGCACCTGCTTATATCTGCTAGGTGTCATTACCAAAGAATCTCTTGTGACAAAATGTGAAGAATCATTTGCCAACCTTTTCAGTCGAGTCTCAAATGAGGCAGCGTCCTCGAGGATTGACGTATGAATGACTCCATGTATGGAGTTGACATCTTCATCCGTGAATCTGCTGAGTGTCTCTACCACTCCTCTGGCCACTGATGTATTGTACATCACTGTCTCAGGAGACTCTGCATCTCCATCAACCAGTGACAAAACTATCACAGGTTGTCTAGGTAGTGCCAGGAATACATCACACACTGTGTGGCTTGGACGGGGTGATGTGGGGAAATCTAGTACTTCTGATAAGGAATGGGCTAAGAACATAAAGCATGGTCCAGCCCTTGGGTTGGGAAAGTCTACCACTTCACTGGTCAGAGGATCAAATACAAAGTCGAACGCATGATTTTCTATGTGTTCAATGAGTCGTTCTTTCACTTGTGCTAAAGGGGTTCTTAGGTCCTTTGGCACAATATTCTGACCATCTGAAAATATACAAATATACAGTTCTTTGAAAGCTTGTCCACTGCACGTAGAATGCCAATTATGTGACACATTATGTTGATAAAGGCCGATGATACAGAAGATCTAAATATAGTTACATTATGTATAATTTTATTCATAGATCAAATAAACCGAATAACTGACCTGATGTATTTGTGTATGTTAAGGGCACTATTAAAAGTTTTAAGGGGCAAAGCGTTTTGGTGTCTTTCGAAGATTTGACTAAAATGTATCTATAAATAACCTCAACATACTCAACATGTCCTGGCTATAAAATATATGCTTTGTTTAAATTTATTGAAGGCACTCAGTAAAATGATTACGTTTGTTATCTTTTTGAATGAAGTAACTTCTTATTTCATAGAGACTGTCTCCAATCTGTTTCAGGTCAGGACGAAATAAGTCGTTTGTCCCCAGATATAGACCATGCTCATCCTCCTTTGCGATATTTTGCTGGAACATGAAATGAAACGTGAAGCTTGCACTGATAATGTGAAATGAAACTGGTACAGCTTTATCGATCATTGATGACTGTGGCATAAAAAACTCTTTAGGGAAACATCTTGTGATTGTCCCCTGTTTACAGATAAAATAATGTTAATCTTGACAACTGTATAGAATGATAGTAAATATCAATAATATTTCCCCGATCTTGTAAAGATGTTTTCTTAAATGTTGTAACAAATATATATGCACTTACTAGTAGCTTCCACATGCTGCCTGAAATGAGTAAACATCGAGACATTAAGAATATGATAAAAAAACATTTCCATCGACAAGTATTACAATATATTCTCGCTTAACTGAACACTAGTAGAGCATAAGAATATTTTGTTTTATGAAAGGATGGATTTGTAATCAGCCTGTGGAAAATTATGCTACAATATTTTGGCAAGGCAGATCAAGGAAAAGAACATAACAGTAGATTTACCTTTATGAGCATCCTTATTGCATTTAGCAAACTTTAAAAGAAACGGATATATCATTAGAATTCAATCATTTAACGAATCTACCTATGATCGTCGAACTTTGGTGCTGTGTGATGTAATTTCCCTTATGTCGCAAAGCTTTTCGATAAAATACAAAATTGATTCACACAGTGTACACATTAAATTATCACTTCCTTTATTACTTTTGAAAGTTACACGAGTTCGCGCAAAGTTGCGACTCTTATGCGTGCCTACAATTTGTCATCGTGCGTCCGAATCCAAGATTAGCCCTTATTCTATTTCTTGTTGTGTTAGCACTATACTCATTCTCGCGGGTTTCACTAAAACCTTCCTCCCACATCAAGCGTATATGCCACAATATTATTTAAATTATGTTTAAAGAGGCAACTCACTCACTCACTGAGCATACAGAGGCTTAGTGTAAGTTCCCGAATATTAATGTTTCCTGAATAATATTCAATATAATCATCATCATCATCAGGAAATAGCTTTATTCTATTTAACTTCATTATTTATCGTGTTTTTGTAATAAACATTTACCATCAGACAAAACATCTATTTGTTTCTTCATCCCTTCTTTTTCCTGTAAACATAAAATGAAAACTTTGTTAATAATCAGCAACTCTGGAACAAACGGCTTCGAGGGAACCAGTTATGGCTATTCAATGAATATATTCTTATCCCTGTAAAACGGTTTGTCATGGGTAGGTTTGTGGAATTATACAAACACCATATGGAGTAGGGTATTGATACGACTGACTGGTATTAGTAGCAGCTAGTTGTTATTTAAGTGTTCACTGCATAAGAGAAGGCTATATAGAGTGGACGTGGAAGCTCTCACATAACATGTTGTAGTCTCATTGGTTATGAGTGTTTGGCAGTCCTGCCAAGGAAACAAACTCATGAGATGCATTTGTTCATGTCATCCCTACAGAAATGACGACTCAAAATATCTATGAAGAAGAGTACCTGTCTCAATCGAAACATTCACACCTCTAAACCCTGCCATGATACGGTTAGTGTTACAACATACATTACCCTTTCTGCCTCACATATTTGGGCAAATCGCCAATTCCGACTGCTTGCGTGTGTCATGACTGTGTTAGTTTCATCCACGATATTCACACAGGAGGACAGGTCAACCGTACTGAGATCCTCTGCTGCTACAGCTGATGGGTACACCGACCTGGAAACAGGTTTTTACAAAACTGAACTCATATCATGTGATGGTTTCAAACAACCATTTAAGGCTTTAAGTTAAGGCTTCTTCCTGCAGACTCATTTATACGAAAGTAATTCTATTGTTTGATGCTTTATGGCGTTACCTAATTTAATACGACTACTAATGCTACTGATGGCGCCAACCAATAAGTACGCCGACTGCATACAATCTACATTTGCTATAACTTAATACAAACCTGAGTCTGTCCCTCTCCTCCCGTGACCTACACACCAGCAGAGTGTCCCCCTGTCGGTTCAGTCTCCTGGCCACCTCCAGCATCAACGTCGTCGCTCCACTTCCGGGCAAACACTTCACCTGGACATCCTTATCGTTTATGTTCTCCACCAGAATGATACATTGTTCTTTGGTGAGAAATCTCAGACAATCACCATCAGTGTCACCAGTATCTTTAAGCACCGACTTTGTTTCAGCAACACCAGCCCAGAAAGCAGTAAGGACTTTCTCATATCTGCCAGGTGTCATTACCAAAGAATCTCTTGTGACAAAATGTGAAGAATCATTTGCCAACCTTTTCAGTTGAGTCTCAAATGAGGCAGCGTCCTCGAGGATTGACGTATGAATGACTCCATGTATGGAGTTGACATCTTCATCCGTGAATCTGCTGAGTGTCTCTATCACTCCTCTGGCCACTGATGTATTGTACATCACTGCTTCAGGAGACTCTGCATCTCCATCAACCAGTGACAAAACTATCACAGGTTGTGTAGGTAGTGCCAGGAATACATCACACACTGTGTGGCTTGGACGGGGTGATGTGGGGAAATCTAGCACTACTGATAAGGAATGGGCTAAGAACATAAAGCATGGTCCAGCCTTTGGGTTGGGATAGTCTACCACTTCACTGGTCAGAGGATCAAATACAAAGTCGAACGCGTGATTTTCTACGTGTTCAATGAGTCGTTTTTTCACTTGTTCCAAAGAGGTTGTTAGTTTTGTTGGCGCAATACCCTGACCATCTAGAAATATACAAATATACAGTTCTTGAAAGCACGCTATTACATGAAGAATGGTCATATGCCAATTCTGTGACACCGCTAATTAACGAGTATCATATAACAGATTTTTATTTGCAGACTGTGATTATCATGTGGACGGATGAGTAATTCTTTCCTACACATTATATTGTTAAAAGACTACAACACAACAGATCTAAATATGGTTACAAAATGTTCTATTCACTACATAGATCAAATTAACCAAATAAGTTAGCCCATATATATGTGTGTTTGGAGAGCACTGTTAAACGTTTCAAGGGGTAACACGTTTTGGTGTCTTTCGA